CCTCTCGCAGCTGCGCCAGGACAGCCGGCGCGCGGCCGTGCCCACAAGTTGCCGGCGGCCGAGCTCCGCGCCGCCGCCTCCTGCTCGCAGCCCCCTACACCCACCCGGCGGTGGTGGCGGGCGCCAGGACGCACATACTGAGGACGCCGACCCCACATGTAAAGCGGGACAGCGGTCCCTGGTCCCCTGGCGTGATCTACAGAGTCTGGCCAACCTCTTTCTGCCAAACCCCAGGGCTGAAAGATGTGGCAGCCGGCCACAGAGCGCCTGCAGGTAAGGGGCACCCGGGAGACTGGGGGCCAGCCTGGAGGAGGAGGTTACCGGGCCGGAGGAGCCAAGGTGGTGCCTCTGCCCACTTGCCGAGATGTGCCTTCCCCCGTCCCCCAAAAAACCGATCCTGTAAGACGAATGTATGGGACCAGGATGCTGTCGACTTAACCCACAGCCAGGCACCCGGCAGGGTTAAAGGGGATAATGAAATTGAGGAACGCAGAAATTCAGGTGGCACAACTTTTGGCTTGGGGATGTTTGGGTGCGTGTTGACGTATACAATGTTGGACTTTCAGACCGGCAAATGAATTCCACTGATACAATTTACTGGTCTGAGGGTAGGGTTTTTGAATCCACAATTTTTCCCTTTTCTGTCTCCAAGAAAGACAGAACAAATGATTTGTGAAAGCATCCATTTGCCAATATAATTTGGAAATATCAAGCTTGGTTTGGCTTGGTCGTGGTATGCTACTTATTTTATTTTTCCCTATTCACTGGCTCTCTGTCTTTATCTCTCCCCTCAATCCAAGCTTCTCCAGATATTTGAAAATCAAAAGTTAAGTCTACTCAGGAATAGTTATGTCTGGGGTCATCTCTTCAGATGTTTTTTACTGCTGCCTCTAGAAATGCCCAACTGCCTTTGATTTGGATGATGAAAGTAGGGAGTTGGGGGAGGGGGCCAAAGAAAGAAAGAGAGGTGTTTTCCCAAAGGAGCTCATTCAGTACCACTTTGGGCCCTGGGGTTGCCCTGGCTGCAAGGTCTGGTGACTGCCTTTTGTTGGCATATATTCTCAAGAGTGACAGCAGCCTCCCTGCCAGATAAAATCCAAATCCACGGAATCCTGCAGTTTCAAACTTTTGGCAGGCTCCGAGCCACATTGTTTTATAGTAAACTTTGAAAAAGTGTTTAAGTGGTAAAATACAGCACCATTGGAGGCTGAGCGTGTCTGGAGATTTAAGACAGTCAAGCCAGGAGCCCTGGCTGGCTTGGAGGCTTCTCAATGAAAATTTAAAGCCCCAAACACAGTCAGTCCCTCAGATGCTGGGAGAGGCTAACCTTTGCCTAGGAATCCTTATATTGAGGATTAATCTGCAGAGGGCATTGTGATTAGCAGAAACAGATGTCTCACACTGCCTTTCCAAGTCTCCCTGAGCCGCAACTTTTGGGCAGTATGTTCACTTTAGTAGAGTCGGTAACACCAAGCCAGTTCCCCAGGGCCTCATGCAGAATAAACCAGAAAACTGTATTTTGCCTTGCAGATGGGAAGGTGAATGTCCAACTTCTTAACCCCCTTCCCCATCTTATTGAGAGAACATCAGCGTTGGACTCTGAATGATTGGCAGAAGGTGACATAAATGTATTTTGGCAGTGGCACCAGATATTAGTGGTGCATTTGATTCCTCTCTCAATTGAAGGCATGAGTTCTAAAGGAGCAGAATGATTGAGAGAAGGTGTCAGGTTCCCCATCTCCTAATGCAGGGAGTAACTTCTGGAAGTCCTTAGAGAGGTGTCATCAAAGTTCCTTGAGGTGGCTCTTGTGGCCCAGTGATCTGCTCCTCTGAAGAGTTTGTAGCTTTCTGTCTGGTGAAGTTGTTTCTGCTGGCCTGTTTCATTCAGGGAGTCGTGTTTTCTGCAGAGCACGTGTCCTTTGGCTGGCAAGCGCCCTCTGGGATTGTTCCTTGCTAGAAATGTCTCCTCACTCTTCTATGAGATGTGCGCATGAGCATTTTGGCATGGGTCTGGCTTATTGCAGTTTGTGTTTGCAGTGCGTTTATTTTATTTTATTTCAGGGTGTTATGTTGAAAGAGCCTGGGTTTTAGGCTTTCAAAAGCTCAGGTAAACAAGGCTTTATCACTAAGATAAAGTTACTGTCAGAGGGTACTTCCCAACATGGGGCTCTACTTCACATTTCCCACATTTAATCAGTGGACCTGGTTGTCTTCTAAAAGTATGTGGATCTGAAGCCTTGATTTTATGAAAGTGAGACAAATAGGGAAAAATCTTTGTATTTATGGCTTCTTCCGAGATAGCTCAAGTCTTCTTGAACATATAATTTGTATGGTGTTACTTTTTGCTTCCGAAGGAGAGAGATGTTGGGGGGTGAGGTGGTGAATGAGCTGCTTATGATAATATATTTATGTTCCTTGTGATTATCTTTGTCATGGTTTTGCTGCCTGGGATTTTTTTCTTCCCGTTTCTGCTCTTGAGGCACCATCCAATTCCTCAGGAGCTAAGTGGGCTGTGCCTTCCCTTCCAGCCTCTGTGGCCATGGACATAGTCATGGAAGTCAAACTGGGTGGGGAAATAGAGGATGAGCCCCACCCCCTCTCTTCCCAAACCTTTTTAGCCTTCTCATACAACCTTATTACGGTTTTTTCTCATTCCTCTTTAATACAAACATTATAATTAGATGAGCCAGAGTGAAGAAAATGGGTCCAGGAGACGTTCCCAGAGTTTCCTGAGAGAACTAAGGAGTAGATTTACTGTATAAATACCTACAAACAAAAGAGGCTAGGGAGGGAGGCTAGGGAGGAGAGGAACTAGATCCTTTCCTGATTGATTTCATAGTTCATATTAGAGGATGCCGATTCGAAAGGTCTGTGGTCCTGGGAGTGAGGCAGAACTTTGCTCTGAGCAGTCTGAGGGACTTCTGAGGGCAGCAACCAACTTCCTGGCTCAGGCAATGGTATCTTTGATCGGGTTTGATTGTTATCATTACCCACTTCTGTGTTACCCCAAAACTAATGCTGATATTTTCTGATTTGAGGTTTAGCTATTTGACTCAAATCCAGTGCAGAAGGGACCTATTGCCCCGAGCAGGACTGAGCTGGGTAATTTCTCATTCAGTCGCACAAACTGCGGCAAGTTCATCTGCTCCCTTGAATGTTAAAACTTCTGTTGGGTCCCTCTGGAGCCCTCGCTGGGAGCTTCTGCCATTAAAAATATACTGGGATCAAAAGGGATGTGGCGCTTTAATTTACTACCTTAACTTTTAAAAACGAATAAATATGAATTCTTGTCTTTTCACCTTTTCCTCTGCACAGTGGACTTTTTTTTTTTTTTTCCTGGAGGGACTCAGGAGAGTTATACATTTTTAAAGAAGCAGATTTGAAACAGACCTTTTCCAGAGAAGTTAAAGGGGAATTTTCAGTAGAAAAAGGCAAATATCGGTTTTTGAAGACAGAGATGAGATTACTTCTGGCCTTGATATTTTAAAATGTGCACGGGTTTCTGGATTGACTTAATTATTGTGCCAGGTGGGTCTCCTCTGAGTGACAGACCCCTCCATGCAAGAATGTGGTTTGACTTTGCCGTAAGGAGCATGCATTTCCCAGAGCGATGTCTTCAGGGAGCTACAGATACATTTTTCTGGAAGTCTCAAGAGTGAGTTCAAAGTGAGGGAGGCCAAATAATACATCCTCAACTATGGTGTGCTTATTATGCTAATAGAGGGGAATATGATAGTGGCCACGGAGAGGAATCAAATTCTAGCAAATTCTAACTGTGGAGTCTCCCGGTGACATCTCTCAAAAGGCATTCTGTGAAAGTTCCACAATTTAATCAATTGCCTGTCTTCCCTGGCAATTGTAGTTTCTTCATGGCAGGTCCAGAAAATTCAAAACTTTTTAATTCGTAAATCTGGATTTTGGTGTCTCAGCCTGAACTGTTTTTTTTCTCGACCACCACTTCCTTTTTCACTCTCATTTAACCAAGAGTACCTGGGCACTTCTGAAAGAGGGAGAGATGAAGAAAGGGAAGGGAGGACATTGGATCCTGCAGAACTTTTCTTTTGGTTTCTTTTTAAACTTTTGGCTAATCGATAAAGAAGTTGAAGTTTTTCACTAAATGCTTTTTGCGGATTTTAGGCAGTAAAGTTCTTCCCTGGGATTACCTTGCCCTTACTCTGCCTTGCCACACCTGGCAGACCTTCTCTCTTGACTTGGAGTGTGGATTATTCTAGATTTTTTTCTCTACTATTATGCAATGTGACTTTTGTCCTAAACAGTGTGACCAAGGAACCCCCTGAAACATAGCCAGAGACCATTAAGGGTGGCCTATCAGGAAAGGCTGAAAATTCTGGCAAGTCTGACACTTTTCCAGGCTGACCAGATTGCCAAAGGGAACACAGAAGAAGGGGAGGGAAGAACAACCTGCTTTTCTGGAGCAGACGCCGTTATGTGTGGCACTGCACTGTGAGTTTTATTGGAATTCTCTAACTCATTTCCTTCCCATAACTACTTTTATCCTTATTTTATAGATAGAGAAATGAAGGCCAGAAAGTTGAAATGACTTAACCAGGGTCAGACCGCGAGAAGGAGACTGAGCTGGGATTGGAACTAGGTGGTTTGACTCCGCACTTTGCTTCCTACACACTTCCCCGTAGTGCAGAAGCGGCGGTGCTGTTGTTGGTGATAAACATTACAGAATTAGAACAACGGGTGTCTGGTGGGCTCCGACAGGCTGCTGTCATATTTCTTGTTGAAATAGAGTATTGCCCAGGGGCTACCCTGTTTTTGGTGACCCAAATCTCTGGGGGAAATAAGTTTCTCCTGAGTCACAGTGAAACTGAAATTCACAAGTGTCATTTAAGAGTCTCTCCAACTAGAGTACATGGCATTTATTCAAATTGGAGACCTTGAAAGCTGGTAATCAGGCCTGATTCTGTATGCAGTCATTCCAAGTTTAGACAAAAAACCAGGAGGATGGAGGGAGGAGGTTGGGAAGTTTCAGAGCAGTAGCTTATAAACAAGCAGCAGCTCTACAGAGGCACGGGTTTCTCACAAAAGCCATTCTGGATTTTGCTGTCCTTTTCCTCTCTAGTAGCTGAGTAGCACAAAGCCTTGGGCCTTATCATTCATAAAGAGAACTTGGAGTTAGCGTTAATTTGACGCCTTAGACTCTCTCACAAGTAAAATAACATCTGACATCATTGGGTCTTTCTTCAGTTTTGCCAGCAAAATATCTACCAAGTGATTTGCAAAATGCTAGCTTTGGGAACACCTCCGTGCCCCTTAGTTACCCAGTGCCTAACGCAATGTAATGTTGACTGTACTGGGTTATCTTCGAGTGTTAGGCAACTTTCCCTTTTTGTTTGATGTTCCTGATTAGGTCTCTCCCACCTTCCCTCTGCCCTGACTCCTTTCTGCCGTGTAAACTGGCCTTGGAGAGGACTCTGGAAGAGTCAGCCTGACAGCTTCCAGCCTCAGGGAGATCAGACTGCCTCCCGTGGGGATATTTCACTGTGTGAATAGCAGCAGTCAGGGACTTGTTAGTGGTTGGCAAATAAAACCAGCCCAGAAACGCTCACTGGCCACAGTGTGCTTCTCTCAGCCCCCACAGCACTCAGGTAAATGGAGGCTTTATATGTGTATAAGTAGAGCAAGAAGGAATTAGATGGCGTGTTTGTGCAGAGACCTCCTTAAAGTCTTGCGGGATTAGTTTACTATCTTTCTGTGTTAAACTAAAAAAAATCTTTTGATCTCAATTTAGCTACTAATCAGTGATGGAGCTTCCCAGTATTTACCAGGTCCAACCTCTGAGGTCAAGGACCACACAAGGAAGGTGTCAGGGAAAGGCACAGACTTTTCAATGCTTGCAAGGTCTGAGCAAGCTCTTCCACTTCAAGCTGATGCCCTGTGGCTGTCTCGTCTTGCCAACCTCTTCTTTCTCAAACTTGAAGGCCCACGACTCCTCCACCATCCTGTGTTTCGACCAAGGTCTTATTTTGATAAGGGAGATCCCAGTAATGGCCTTATTAGTCAGGTTGTATCCAGAATCAGAAATCACTTGGATAAAAAAAAACTGAAAAGAAAGCCAAATATATCTCTTTATAAATAATTTTGACTCGATTGCTTACTACCAATGTTCTATTTGGTTTTTTAACTCCTCTGAGCTTTGCTTTCCTCATCTATAAAATGAAGAGATGTAACTTGTAGAGATTTTGGTAAATAATAGGTACTTAATAAACAGGATCATTTCTTAATGCTCTCAGGGTTGGTCACTCTGGGAACAGAGTTTTGAGTTTATGTCCGATCTCCTATTTTCTTTATTGAACATTGATTATGTTCTGACACTCTCTATTCCTCATGGTATAGGTATCCCCTAAATTTCAAATACTGGGACAGAGTGCATGTGTCCTGGTGTGGAGTGCTCTTTTTATAATGAGTACAGATTTGTCTACTGTGATTTGAGAAAATTAAAACAGACAGAGAAAAACTAAACTATTGCTTCTTTTTTCCTTTGTATCCTTCCGGTTAACATCCTAGAAAAAGGTGGCCAAACCCCTGAGTGTAACATGTGCTTTGCTGTTAAGGGAAGTCTCTGGACAATATCGTAAATGAGCTTCAGAACTGAAGATAGTTCACTTGGAAATTCAACTTACGGGCTTAGGTGTGAAACAAAGTCATTTTAAGGTGGATCCAGCAAAACTTTTCTAGGCAAATCAAAATCAAGGGAGGATGAGGATTTAGGATTTGGTCCTCAAAACAGTCCATGGTATCAGAACTTTTTAGGGTCTCTGGTAAGCAGCCTCTGTGGTTTGACTCTTTCCCACTAGGAAATGTGTAGGTTGACAGAAAAGTGTATTTCAAATTGACCTCCAGTAAGCCTTATAGCATGTCAGGTTGGTTATTTGTGTCTGGAATTTTGTTTTTAAGTTGGGAACTGTATAAGTTCTTTTAATAAAGAACCTATTCCTATTCTGGGATTCCTCCTTAAGATGAAAAGACAAATGTCATTAGCTGTCATAACACTTACTTTCTTGGGCAAACTCTTTTTCTCAGTACCGTCGCCACAGTGGCACGATCGTTTTCCATCCTTATGACAGGAGGGCAGGCATCTGGCTTACTACAGAGCTGCTCTTTCAGTTTTTATTTGTTGGAGCGAAGGGTCATTCTAGTTCTAACATGCTACTTTTCTCTTCATCCTCTTCTTCAGAAGGGAGTAGTACCTTGTGTGTGGGAACAGGAGGGGTATGGGGAGTTATCAGGAGAAGGGGCTCTGTAATTGTCATCCTAAGACTAGGCCCATCCTAATCCTTTCATGACAAGCCTTTCCTCACAGTGCTGTTACCGTTGCAAGTCTGAGGATAAACACACAGGTTCCGTAGACCCCCTCATGCTTCGGTGCCTTGGTGTCAGGAATGGACTGGCCTTTCCTGAGCTGAGTGGCATCCTGATGAACAAGCCACCTAGACCGTAGGACAGTGGCAGTATCTCTTTCCTCTCTGAAGTCTTCTAAGGTTCTTTCCTAGGGACTGAGCTGGGGGCTGAAGACCTGCTACTGATAGGCAGCTATCAGCTTTGGGGTTTAAATTCTAATTAGCTTAGTGTATTACCAGTAGTTTCTCAGGGCTACGGTAACAAAGTGCCATAAACTGGTGGCTTAAGCAATAGAAATTTGTTGTTGTCACAGTTTTGGAAGCTGGAAGTCAAAAGAAGGTGTTGGAGGGGCTGATTCCTTCTGGGGTGACACAGCACGCATTCTGTGACTCCCTGCTAGCATCAGGTGGCTTCCTGGCAGGCTTCGGCCTTCCTTGGCTTGTGGCAGCGTCACTCAAGCATTCCTGTGGTGTTCTCCCTGTGCTCGTGTCTCTGTGTCCAGTTTTCCCCCTTTGGTAGGGACAGCAGTCATATCATCAGATGAGGGGCCCCCTTCATGCAATGTGACCTCATCTTAACTAATTACATGTGCCATGAGCCTATCTCCAAATAAGGTCACATTCTGAGGTCCAGGGTTGAGGATTTCAGCGTATGAATTTGGAGGGGGATACGGTTCAATGCATAACATCCATAATTAGTGTAGAGTTTTCTTTTGGGTATCTTCCATGTACCAATATATTTCTTCCTACTTGACCAATCACAAAATAATAATAATAAAAAGAAAGCAGTGAGAATTTTTTTTTTCTAAATGGCAGTACAGATGTGAAATGGGGTGCTATATCTACTAAGTATCATGACCAGCATTTTATACTTGATTGTAAAAACTTACAAAATATTATCTGCTTAGGAAAACAGTTTATGTTTGAAGTATGTAGAGAGGTTAATAATCTTATCTCTTTCCCATTCCCAGTTCTACTCAGGAAGGAAAGTTGTAGGATCTACCCCGATGGTTATTTTTCTACCACTTTACTTAGGCTTTTGCAAAAGCCTATATAAACTTATATTTAGGGTTTTCTTTATGTATTTAAATAATTATACAATACCTATATACCACCCTGCCATCCCCCCCTCCCACTTTACAGTGTTTTATGGGCATCTTTCTGGTCAATACGTGTAGCTCCAAGTCATTCTACTGAGCACCTGCATAGGCTTTTGTGGTGGAGCTGGACTGTAATATGTCTAATGACTCTCCTATGAGGGAGTATCTGGGTTGTGTTCATGTTCATGTTCTTTAGTATTTACCCTGTAAATACTGTTACCAGTTTTCGTGCATATCCCTAAGTGTTTGTGCTTGTATTACTTTGACCTGAACAGCTAAAGCTGGAATGGCTGAGTCAAAGAGCATGCATGTTTTAAATTTCAGTAGCTGTCAGTAAGGACCTCCATTGAGAGTCCTACTTTCTGATCAAAAATTTATGTGGGTACAATGTAGGGGTGTATGGCACATCTTTGGGATGCTGGACATAACCACAGGATTACCTAACAAATTCAAATATTGTTGGGACTTGGTTGTTTGTACCCTCATATTAACCTGAAATAAAGAAAAATTTATGTGATTTTGACAAAGGTACAAAGAAGATAGTTCACTGGTGTCTTAGTCGGCCTAGATTGCTACACTGGGTAGCTTGTATAAACAACAGAAACTTATTTCTCATAGCTCTAGAAGCTTGAAGTCTAAGATCAAGGTGCAGGCAGATTCAGCTGCTGGTGAGGAGGTCCCTGGTTGATAGAAATGGCATGTCTCATGGCCAGGCACCATGGCTCATGCCTGTAATCCAGCACTCTGGAAGGCCAAGGTGGGTGGATCATTTGAGCTCAGGAGTTTGAGACTACCCTCAGCAAGAGTGAGACCCTGTGTCTACTAAAACCACAAAAACAAAAACACAAACAAAAAAATACAGAAAAATTAACTGAGCGTTGTAGCAGGAACCTACTACTTGGGAGGCTGAGGTAAGAGGATCATGTGAGCCCAAGAGTATGAGGTTACTGTGAGCTATGATGACACCATGGCACTCTACCCAGGGTGACAGAAT